AAGAGCGGTGGTTGGAAGGGACCTCTGAAGGTTGTCTGGTCCCAACCCGCTGCTCAAAGCAGGGCCAATAGGTTTGGGTTATTCGGGGTCTTGGCCAGTCTCATCCTGAGATTTCACAGTCAGTGTTGGACCCACCTTACTGTTAAGGCTTTTTCCCCCTTTGTCTGACCAGAACTGCGGTTTGTGTCTGTTGCCTCTTGCCCTTGTGCTATGCAGCTCCAAAAGTTTTGCTCGGCCTTCTCTATCGCCTCGCGTTAGATTCCCCTCAGCTGTCTCTTCCTAAGGTTGAACAAACCCATTTCTCTCAGCGGCTCTTGGTGCATCGGGTGATCCAGTTTCATGATCTCGGTGGCCATCTGCTGGACTCGCTTCAGTATGTCAATGTCTGTCCTATACAGCAGAGCTGGACACAGCTCTGATGCGGTCTCACAAATGGCTCACAGAGAGACAGGATCTCTTCTCCTGATGTGGTGGATGCACTTTTGCTAGTACAGCCTAATATATAGTTGACCTTCTTTATACAGTGGCACACTGCTGACCCGTATTCACTTTGCTACCCGCAAAGGATTACCAAACTGGTTTTTGCAAAGCTGCATGTCATCCAGTTGGACCCCAGCCTGGACTGTTGTGTGGGCACCAGATGCAGACACAGGATTTTACGTTTTCTTTTGTTGGACTTCATGAGATTTCTGTCAGCCTTTGTCTCCAGCCTGTAGAAGTCTCTCTGAATGGCAGCCTTGCCTTCCGCTGTATTGACAGCTCTCCCCACGTTGCTGTCATCCATAAACTTGCTGCAGGTGCATTTCATCCCATTGTCTAGGTCGTTGATGAAAACAGTGTCAGTCCCAGTACTGAGCCCAGATTGATGCTGTAAGTAAGCAGCTGCCAGTTGGACTTTGTACTGTTAATCACAACCCTCTGTACTGGACAGTCCAGCCAGTTTTCCAGCCCGCTTGTTAACTGTTTTTCCTATCCTTATCTTACTAGTTTGGCTATTAGGATGCTGTGGGAGAATTTGTCAAAGGCCTTGCTAAAGTCAAGGTACGCAACATCCTCTTGCTTTTTTTTTTTTTTTTTTTTGGTCAGGCTTGGAAAGGCAAGGTACAGCAATGGGGACACACTACTGAAATGGCAAAATGATGTTAAGGCTTTTTAGAAATCTTAAAATGGTATTGCTTCTCCTGTAGTTTTTGTCTGTTTTACTGAAGTTCTTGTAGTGTGTCCCCATCCTGAGGTACTAGTTGCCCTCAAGAGCAAATGAGTACCTGAGCTTTCAAGCTAAGTGGACTAACTTCAGCCTAGTAGCTTAATTCTTCCATTCTTCATAGTGAAACACAGCCAGATTGCATAACTGATTTCCGTTTCTGAAAGCTTCTAGCTTTGTCACGCCCAGTGTCCTGATCTGATAGCAAGCAGATCAAATAACATTCTCTGGCCTGTGCCTATTAATGCACAAATGAAAAACAGGTATCAAAGTTGTTGATTTTGCCAACAGTCTTGAGCTGATAGTTTTATTTCTGCAGAACGTTACAGATCTTTATTTCATTTACTTATTTATTTCTTTATTAGATGGAAGCTGTTTTGCCCTTGGGGTAGTGTATTAAATAAAACTCTCTGTTAGTTCATAGCATAAATGCCATATAAATGCTTGTGCTACAAATAGCACAAATAGCAATGCTGTTTCTTTCTTATTAGCACGGCAAAGAAGGAAGATATCAGGATGGGCGTCTTAAAGCTGTTAAACAGACATAACATTGTGTTTGGTGATTACAAGTGGACGGAGTTTGACGATGGTTTCCTCAACAGCAATGTGCAGTCTGTGTCAGTTGTGGATACAGAGCTGAAGCTGAAAGAAAGACAGGTATCTACAGTCAGTAATGTACAGCCTTGTTCATATGTGTATGGTCAACTGGTATGCAGACTAGCTGTGACAGTCTGAGCAAGACAAGGTTCATAGGAAGGTGTACTATCTTTTGCTAGACTGACTGGTATAACTAGGAGAATGTGGTCAAGCTTTTGGGCCTACAGCTGTTCTTAAGGTCTGAAATATAAGTAGTAGGTTTCAAAGCTGAATGTCAACTGAGTACTGTAATTTTGTCATGTTATAATTAGATTTGAAGTGAGAAATACGATGTATTAAAAGTCCTTTTTTATGTTCCTTCTAGCCCATTGACTTGAGCAAAAGTAATCTTTCTCTTCATATTTTCCATCTGAATGAAGAAGGACCAAGCTCTGAAAACTTAGAAGAAGAGAATGAGGATATTGTTGCAGCTAACCACTGGGTACTACCTGCAGGTACCCTTGTGATATTTCTGGAAGGTCCAGAGCATTTATAATGAAAGAAAAACTTGGAAGGGCTAAGGTTGTAAGAGTGTTTTATAGGGTTACCTGTTAAAGATATTATTTGCATATAGAATATACCTTTGTCCTTTCTGGATGGAACCGATATATTTGGGATTTTTTTTTTTAACGTAGCTTTATGTTTTTGACTGAACTACAAAGTTTCAAGTTTTTCTGAAATAAGAGAAAGTGGGTGAAGGTAAGCACTCTTGTTGAATAAAGCCTGAAAATGTGTACTCAAAATCAGAAGCATGCAAATTTCTAACCATACAAGCTGTATTGCAAACTTATGTGGAGACCATCAAGAAACTCATCACTTTAAACATTCATTTTCCAGAGCCCACTATTGGCTTCCAGCCCCAGGAGAGTGCTGCTCTTATATTTTCAAATGGAAGCATGTGACCTGGCAACACTTGAGTCTCTATGCAAGAGCTGTACTGAAAACACAATAGAGCAGGCACAAGAACTGGAAGAGACTTGTTAGTTTGATCCTTTATGGGTCCTTGGTTCTTGCATCTTCTTTTTTTTTTTGGTCGGTGAATATTGATGTTTGAAGTCATTTTAATTTGCTATCTGAACAGCAGCATTAAAACCTAGATAGTCTGGGGAAAAATCCAATTAAACAAATAAATAAATAACATTATTAAATAACAGTATTCTTGCTTTTTCTTGAGAACTAAATAGAATTACAATAACACTCATAAGGTCGTGTAGTTTCAACATATTGCAATGAAAATCACAGCAAGTGTTTTAAAAATGTATAAAAATATACATTCATTATAAATATATGTATTGTTGTCATTGTCAACAATTCAAATTATATCTTGCTTACAATAAATTTGCAGAATACGCTGATTGCTTTTCTCTGATCTCTAGAGAAAACAGCAATTTGACTAGAGAGGCATTTCCTCACTATGAAGCTAAGGTCCCCCCGCCCCCCCCAAAAAGGAACAAAAAAAAAGATTTAGAGTTCTCAAAGTGTCTTTTGAAAATAAGAATAAAATCTTCCTCTGCAGTAGGGCTTGGTCTGCCTGGTTGCTATGATGTTCGTTGAGGAAGTTGAATTATGCAATAGAAGCACAGAAGCAAGCTTCAGATCAAGGAGGGGTTGATTCTGTGGCGTTTCTTGCTATTTCCATGTTGTGGAAAGCCTGAATGTCCATTATATTTATCTTTGGGAAGAATTCAGTCTGATATCTTGACATTAAACCACAATAACATATGGGAATAGCATTATTCACCGCATTTTTTTTTTGCTTTCATGTGCTGGAAGCGAGAAAATAACAGCCTAAAAAGATTGAAACCTAAATCACAACTTTGTTTGCTGACGTGCTGATGCTTATTTAAAAGGAAAAAAAAAGCTGAAAGCCCTCTGAACTTTTTCATAATTCTTTATCTTGGGGAAATGTAGCTCATTCCCCTGTTCAAAGTATGTGGAAGGAACAATTTCAATAGGCAAAATTAAATACTAATATTTTTCCATTCATGTTAAGGGTTATTGAAGGTTGAAGAAGGTTAACCTCTGTTCAGAATTATTTGAGAAATAGAAGTTTGTGAAACTGCTGAATTTATGCCTGTTAAAAAGGAGTGTTTGCTTTTTGAGAAAAATAGTCTGTATATTTTCATTGTTCAAAAATGTCTGTTCTTCATCCTTAATTTTAGCTGAGAATAGTTTGAAAAGTGCTTTGTGCTGTAATGCTAGATGACAGGTTACTGGACTGATTTACCCTAAGTAGATGTGTAACTTATTGTTTTTGCAGCTGAATTCCATGGCCTTTGGGAAAGTCTTATATATGACATTGAAGTAAAATCACATGTAAGTTGAAAATTAATAACAATCTAAATTGCTTGAGGAGAAGTAAGAGTTGATATGCAGCCTGTCTGAGTTGTTACATCTCATGGAGAAGGTATTTAGAAATAACTAGCTTGGGAAAGAATTCTGATGTCTGTTTATTACACTTCTGTATTTCAAAGGTAGTAATTTCTAATGGTCACTGTATTGTAGTTCCTCATTATTTTGCAAAGCTTTATCTATTAAAATTTCAGTATTTTTTTTGTCAGTGCTTGCTTCTGATGTACGCTTAAGTAGTCAAAACTGACATATTACAATTAAGCATCATATTTCGGACATCTTTCAGTATGTACTACTGTGATGTCTGCTTTGTGAGAAATTGCAGTTTTACTGTTACCAGTTTCACTGATGACCCATGCCAAATTATAATGAATTTTCCTTATTCGCATTGTCTCACCTTTGACAAACCAGAAGTTCTAACAACTGGAGGTGCTGTTTTGTTAGGAACTTGTAACTTCTCAGAAGACTTTTACTTTTGCTTTACTGCTCTAGACTTACTCATCAGCCTGCCTTGAGGAAAACAATGAATACGCTGTAGATTTAAGTAGAAATTTACCTTATGGAAAGATCGCACTGTGTTTTAAGGCTGATGAGATGCATGTTTTTCTAGAAGGGAAGAAGGAAATTGGTGGAAAAATTAACTCCGAAGAGGCGTAGAGAGATATATGCAGCATTCTTTGTAATCAGTTCTCTGTTTCTCCATTGTGAAGCCCCGAAAGGGCTGTTATGTTTTGATACTGACGTGGGTTTTTGAATGTAAGCTAATTTAACGGCTCTCTACTGCTAAGAGGAGCATCTTCTGGCTGTACTACCTGTGCTTCCCTTCTGTTAACACTCTTGTTACCCTGACCTTGCAGTGAACTGAGGGAACTGAATCACTGAAAATATGCAGCTCACTGTGTGATAGGCTAATTGCCAGCTGGTTTTGTCCCAGGAATTGGTTCACCATGACCTGAGCTGATGGTCATATAACAGAAGTGATGGATGCAGCTAGGTGGAAGGGAATGGGAATTGGACTGTGTGTTTCTGGCAGCAGCTAGTCAATTGACTGATAGCAGTAAAGTCAGTCTGCACTGTTACTCTTCATTCAAATGCATACTGAAGGATTTGACTAAAGTAAACTCCCACTTTATTGATTTCTTAGCAGCTGTTAAGGTGTCCAGAAGGAAATAGTTCCACAGGGTCATTTTCTTGTTTGAAAGTTCTGTGCGTTCATCAAAGGTTGTGATGACAACTGCTAGAATTTATAAATTGTAATACTATAATTTGAAGCTGAGTAATTGTGGTGTGAGTAAAAACCACAAGTGCTTCAATTCACAGTTGCTCTTTTGATAGCATTCATTAAGATGTTCATTTTGCATGTAAAAAAAAAAAAAAGTATATGAGCATAAATACCAAGTGAATTCATTAGCTTGGTTATAGTACAATAGATAGAGTATTTTCACTTAAATCTTTATAACCATAATCTCTATCGTAAAACAAAACATTCAGGTCCTTATGCATCTTCATTATATATAAGTTAGACCATCAATAAACATGCTAGGTTTCATCTAGCTTTATGGAACTATTTTCCAATTTATCTGTGAAATGACAGAATTTTTCTAAAATTAGACTTGCATCTTACTGATGTATTGAATAACTGAGCCAAACACTCTTGATTGTAAACATATGTTGATAGAAAGAGCAGTGGTGGCTTTTAATCATTAAAATTGGAACTACTTACTTCTGTGATGTGAGTAGTAAGTATCCGTGGAACTGACTAGATATGGCAGGATTCTGCAGACCCTGAAATGGTTGCTGCTAAGTTTCAAAATATCGGTCAGTGTCAAAGTAATATTGACAAACATGCTGGATAAAGTTCTATTTTTGCTGTGGCATATTTAGTATGTTTTGTGGCATGAGATATTGCATACTTTTAGGACTGTTTTGTTTTCTTATTAATGCAAATGGGTCAAAAACACGTATCAGGTAGCAGCAACAGAAAATAATATGACAATAAGTGTTTTTTTAGGTAAAAATAAGTATAATTTCATTTTTGTTGAAGGAAGTCTATCACTTGCTGATTCTAGATAACTAAAAATCAAATAACATTATTTCTGGAAGTAAGCGTTCAGGGAAAGTTCATGTAACTTTTCTTAATTGGAAGGATTAGAAATTACGAAGAGCTTAGAATAGCTGATACAAATGCTTCAGTAAAATAAAATGTGACTGGAAGTGCTTAGTTTGGTGGATTAACTATAACAAACAACAGATGTATAGCCATGTAACAGCTAAACAGTAAGCAGAATTTGAATCTTTGACTCTTTTTCTTGGACAGCTTGTGGATGAAAACCCTCTGACCATTAGTTTTTTTTTTTCTTATCCTTTTTAAAACTGGGACAGTGGAAAATGGAAATAATTTCACTTTTTTAAAGCCATTCTTTCTCCTGAGGGAAGGAAGGCAATGAGATTTCCAAGCTTTATAAAAAGAAGTTTGGTTTAGGATTAAAACCTCCATAAGCCTTGAGCACAACTTTCTTTGTTACAGTGTGCAATAGAGATAATTAGGGATTACTTCCATTTTTTTAATTGTATTTACTGATATGACTTTAATTTTTTTTTCCTCCTCTTCAATTAGCTACTTGATTATGTGACGACAACATTACTATTCTCTGATAGAAATGTTGACAGCAACCTCATATCTTGGAACAGAGTTGTTTTGCTGCACGGTAAAAATCATTTATCTTAAAACAAGTAGTTTCATTGGCCATCTATTTATGCTTTCCTTCTGAAAAACTTGTATTGTGCTTTTATGTAGTGAAATAAAATAGATGTTCCTGTGTTATAGCAACAGTGCTTTGGAAGTACTCTCTCCATAGTACAAATTCAGATGAAACATGATGTCAGAGTCAAGTCATGTTTAACATTAGCATTTTCTGTGTTTGCAGGAATTTAATACAAAATTAATAATGCAGTGACAACAGTTCATTGTTTTAATTTCTATTTGTAAGTGATATTATGACTTTTTTGTACAAAATGCAAAAAAAAAAAAAAAGCTAATACTGAGCACATTAGGAACCGTATTTTGGTTGCAACTCTACTGCAGTATTAAAATTTTCATTAGTTTTGGCTGCTTTATGAAAGTATTTTTGTAACTTGGCAATAGATACACTACATTTTGTGTTCTATTGTCAAGTATTAAAATAATACTAATTGAGTTATTATGAAGCCATAATCTTCAGCCGGTCCTTGTTTACTTTGCAAGTTACACCATAAACTGGATTGACATTCAGTTGAATCCATCTTGTTGCAGTTTGCAGCTGGCTATTGATTAATAGCAATTTTGTAATCAAGACTACTATTCAGCAATAAAAGTTCATAGTGGAAATGTTTGTTATAGGTGATGATTTCAGTAAAATTATGATGAGAATGCTTAATGCATCCAGTTATGGAAAAACTTAAAATCAAGATTTTCATCCTTGATTTATTTGTCTGTTTAGAAGATGCAGATTGCGTTTGCCTGGGCAGCTATTTATTTTAAACTGTTAACAATATATCTGTAGTATTTAATTTTAGCAATAAACTCACAAAGGTCAAAAAATTAAGATCACTAACGAACATATTAGTATTGGGAAATGTGTAACTGTATGCTAATGGAAAATATACATTTATGCTATAATGGCAGTATTGACTTTGAACAAAGGTACTGTCATCTTGTTGCCGTTAACAGTTTGCTTGGCATCCACACATCAACTTGTACACGTTCATGCTCTTTGTTTAACTATTTTTGTTCTGGTCTGTTTGGAGAAAATCTGTGTGGCTCTTCCATAGGGCCTCAAGCCATATTCAAAAAGGCCGTATACCTTTTAAAATGCTCTGGGTTATGCTAAGATAGAGATTTCTGGGAAAGTGGACAGCTGATCAAACTGGGTGTAGAATATTTCTGCTTACCTATTAGAAGAGTTTGTTTCAGGAAGATTAAAATTTAAGCATAGCACTGATTTTGAGAATGCTAATGCGCATGACTCCTGCTAGGGTAAAATGCTTTGCTCCTGTGGCTGTTGAGTGTTCTGACTTTATGATGTTTGCATGCAGGCTGTTACATTAACTAATGCTAATAACTGAAAATAATACAAATTCAAAGCTGAAGAGAAAGTGTAGCTCTAGTGTTGTATTGGAGACTTGGTCAAAGTAAGCAACCTTCTCAGAGTAGCCCTGGTGATAAGCTGTGTTCACAATCTGACTGCTGTGTTTTTATTCTGTAATTATTGCTGTCATGAAATTCAATAGTTAAAAAGATGCTACCTGGCATTAACAGTCTGACACAGGTGCTATGTAAAATATTGTGTGGATTTGATTTGAATCCAGGCCCTCCAGGAACTGGTAAAACTTCTCTCTGTAAAGCATTGGCCCAGAAGCTGACAATTCGACTGTCACACAGGTGATCTTATTTTTTTTTTTTCTCCCCCCTGAGATTTTTACTATAGTTTGCTATTGTTAAATATCTTTGGGCTACTGAAAGAGAAAGTAGTGCCAAGTAGTAATTGCCAAGTGCTAACATTCATATAGTATTCTTATTTATTGTATACCTGGCTAACAGTAAAATTGATGCAATATGAAAAAGACAGGATACGGGTATTTTAATGTCTTTTAAAGTGCGTAGATATTCGTGACTAAGAATGTAAACATATTACCACTTGAATTTGTTTTACTTGTTTGTGCTCACACTGCACATCAGTGAAAACTAAAAGGTGAAAGACTGTGCACTATCAAGCCTGCTGCTTGTATTTTCATATTTGAAGCCTATATTTTCAGTAGGTAGTGATTTTTTGAACCAATTTGTTTTGTAGTTGAATTGTCTGAATGCTACAGTCTGCAGAAGTCAGTTTGCATATCAGACGAGTAAGAGAGTTAAGATGCTCTGAAGTTCAAGGTTAACAAATTTGTATTAAAAACTTATATAAAACTTAATTATATAAAATGCTAGGTGCAACTAGTATAGTGATTAATTATTACAGTGATTTGACTTCTCCCCAAGCTAGATTTATGATCAACATGGGCTGTATAATGTTTTGCTGAGATATTTTGTCCTAAGGACATCCGTACAGAGTTAAGTAATTGTGATAAACAAGCTTCATGCTTTTATACATATTTTTACTTGCTATATCTACATCTTACATGAACAGAAGAATGAGGCTGTTAATGGCATAACTGGTACCTAAACTATACATAAATAATAACCAAAGCTATTCTAATGAAGGAATTCTGATTGCAATTTCATGTGAAGCATTCTAGTGAGACAGGTTTCTGGAATTTAAAATTAAACTTAAAACAGCCATTATGTTTATTAAAAGTAATTGATTTAAAGTACTAATTAACAATATTCCAGTGTTGAAGTGGAGGGAATGAGACTTGTCAGTGGTATCACTGACCTTTTTTACAATATAACAGGATTGATACTTCTTTTTCCTTCCATACTTTAGGTATAGGTATGGACAGTTAATTGAGATAAACAGCCATAGCCTGTTCTCTAAATGGTTTTCTGAGGTATGTATTGATCTAAGTTATTTAGTTGTCTTTGTATATTGTTATGAATTATCCAATGTTTCTGATGAGCCAGGTTCATAAAATAGAGGTGTGTACCAAAGACTCTTTTGAGTACTTAAGATGTTTAGGAACACTTAAATAGAAGCTGTATGAGAGACTAACTTTAAGAAACAGATATATCCAGCTGTAAAGATGGTAAGACTTGGAAAGTTATGTGATAAGGGAATACATTAAATATATGTGTATGGTCTCTTTCTAGAGTGGCAAGCTTGTAACCAAGATGTTCCAGAAGATTCAAGAGTTAATTGATGACAAAGATGCTCTTGTATTTGTACTGATTGATGAGGTAGGATTTTAATGGTATCGAGATACATTACTCATCCAATTTAATTTCTGCTAAACTTAAAGTATGACAATCCCTGTTTTTAAAGAACAATGAAAACATGTTTAGACTTTTTTGTAAATTCTTTAACTTTGTGCAAAAGTGTAGAGGAGGTAAATTTAGTCTCAACTACTGCAGATTTGAGAGATTTGGGAGGAACACTGTTGGTTTGGTTGGTTTTTCCCCCAGACAAAATTCCAGCTGAAAATGAAATGAAAGCTTTCTTGGTGGCAGTTCCCTTGTTGCTGTGTGTTAACAAGTGTTAACAGGTGGAATATTGTTCTAAACTTCAAAGTAGCCTGGATTTGTATTATAATTATGCTCTTATGTGTGTTGTAAAGCTCAGAAAACATTAGTTTGATTTCCACTTGTTGTCTGTATTGTCTTGACAGGCTTGCATACATGAGCAACTTACATATGCACCTTGTTCGCCTTATGATATTGAAGCTACATATTCCTGTGGGCTCGCTTGCTCTAAATTCAATTCATTAGTTTCCTTTTTAAAGGAAATTGAATTCAAGTGGAAAACAGCATCCATTCTGCTGTCTAAACAAGGACTTTACTCACTGTACCTTTTGCTTTCATAAGACTTTTCTCTCAAAAAAGGTTTTCTTTCTCCCCATAAGTTCCTTCTTAACAGAAGATTTTGAAGATGAAGCTTTAGATACCAGACTCTCAAGGATCTGAAGATGTATTGCCTAGATTCTTTGCTTGCTGCCAGCTCTCCAAATGAGCTTTTTTTTTTTTTTTTTTTTTTTTTTTCCTTCGTAGGTAGAAAGTCTCACAGCAGCCCGCAGTGCCTTCCAGGCAGGTACAGAGCCTTCAGATGCTATTCGTGTGGTGAATGCTGTACTGACACAAATAGATCAGATTAAAAGGTAAACTCATATTACTGCAACAGCAAAAGGTACCTGACAACTTCATGATTCCTAATAAAAGTTAATTCTCACTTGGAATACTAATCCAAAAGTATTGGCTAATGAACTATTCTTTTATTAACGGTGCAAATTTGGAAAAGAAATAGGAGTAGTCTGGTGAAATATTTTCCATGGAACTGAGTGAGCAATCAAATCTGCAGATGATATACTTCCATTAAAGCTAGGGAGAGATACAGCACAGATGGTCATGAGATCTGCTTTGGAGAGACAAAAGTCATCTCAGTGAAGAATTCATTCATTGTTAACAGCTTCTGGATGTCAATCTAAAGCAGCCTTGCACAACACATGCCATTGCTGCTGCAAGCAGTCCCTAATAATATTTGGTCTACTTTGCATGCTCGACATGCGAGCGCCTCTTTTTTTTTTTTTTTTTTCTTTTTTTTTAATTCTTGCCTGTTCCCTCCTCCTCTTTGTGGCATACTTGGCTCTGCTCACAGAAAGAAAGGTGCCCTGGTATTTGGCCATGTTCTGCCACTGATTAAAGGTAAGTTACTCATTCATCTGTAAAAGTTTGCAGGCTTCATCTAGAAATAGGTATGATTGAGAATGTTCTTTCCATATTTTTTTTTTAGAGCAAGGTGTTGCATCCCTTTTGAGCTTGCTCAGTGTCAACGATTGTAGAACATGTCATGTTAGTGATTAAGCTAGGTACTTTCTACTGAGCTGAAGTAGAAAATGTGTAGATTAAAGATTCAAGTTTAGAAGTCTCTTTTTGTAATCTTATTTATGGCAGACACGATTTAAAAACAGGACTTCTAACTTGGGCTTTCTCCATGCTAGATAGTTAATGTGTATCACTTCTAAGATAGAGGAAATTAAGGACACTTGAGAAATTGCCAAAGAGGAGACTATACGTTGAAATAAAAAAGTCATAACTGACCAAGATCTTCAGATAATTTAATGTAATTGCTAGCTGATGAGAGTGGCATGACTGCTTGTTGCATGAAATGACTTGAGTCATAAGAAAGAAGGTGTTGGTTTGCTAGCCCCAGGAGGGACTTCTTTTGCACGTGACCTAAAAATATGCTTTTTTCTTGAAGGTATCCCAATGTAGTTATCCTGACTACTTCAAATATTACGGAGAAAATTGACATGGCCTTTGTAGACAGAGCTGACATAAAACAATATATTGGACCTCCATCTTCTGCAGCAATATTCAGAATATATCTTTCTTGCTTGGAAGAGCTGATGAAGGTAATGTTTTTCAAGCAGGACTTTAAAACATCCTTTTTAAATAACTTTGGCATTTTTTGTCATACTTCCCAAATAACGAAAATACACAAATTTTACCCCTTCTCTATATTTCTACTCTAACTGTAGAATCTAATTTTGAATATACTTTTAAAGTTTTCATACAGTATGTGTAACTCTTCTTTCTAGTGTCAAATAATATATCCTCGACAGCAACTCTTGACACTCAGAGAGTTGGAGATGATTGGCTTCGTAGAAAATAATGTGTCAAGGTTAAGCCTTGTGTTAAAAGAAATCTCAAGGTAAGATTTTTGAAATTCTGCCTGATGTATAGTTAATACAATCAGGGTTGTGGAATTATGTCTGAAAGCAATCGAATATAATAATAGCAGAGTTTTGAAGCATCTCAATGTTTTTGTTGTTGTTGAGATTAGTTTGAAACCTTTTGGGGAACAGTGAATGAAAGCAAGCAGGAGTTGCAGACATTTCTCAGTCTCAAATCTGGCTCAGTTTCTGGTACTGCTTCTGCCCTTCAAAGTCCTCTTGTCAAATTCCTGGCTGAATTAATGACCTACATGAGATTTCAGTGGATATTGTGAATTATAATGCAGTTTAGCAGAAAGAACACTGACCTTAATTCCTGCTAAGAAAATGTCTCCAAACGCCTTGTGATCCACCAAGAAATCTGTTTTTAGCAGCCCAAAATAAATAGACAGAGGTAAAGGGGAAAGGGTTGATGGATGTGAAATGTAAGTGGAGAGTGTCACGTTTTGCTGAGAATGCTAGTACAGCAAATAATCTTTCACTTTAGCATAAAGATTCTTGAAACAATAGAAATGATGTTCACAATAAATCAAGCGATGTTTCTTTCCGAAGTTCTGGTCCCTGCAGAACAAAACGCCACCTTAGTAAAACAGTGTAACGTTCAGAACATAGGCACGCTTTCCTGACTTTCTTTCTGTTCCTGAAATACTAGCTCTCAACCATTGGAGTACAAGTAAATAAGTTCTGCTAGGCATGTGGGTGTGGGCTCTACACTGCATAGAGAGTACATTCTACATTTCAAAACAAATTTAACCAGTCAGTAAGGGATATAAGTGGTAGTGTCTTTCTAAGTGTGAATGGAAGGATATGTCTGTACCATACTCTTTTCAGTGCAGACATTCCCTTAGATTCATGAGATATGGCACAGTAACGTGCAGGGCACCATGTAAGCTTTGGCAGGCAAACGTTACTATGCTCTTTCTGTACCCGTGCTAGTTTGTTTCTTCAAACCATATGCCCTTTTACTTTTTGCTTCTGAATAAGTGTGAAGAGAACTCTGGACTATCAACATCTTCAGGGTTACATAGGCTTATAATAAAATAAATGACCAAAGCATGCTTTCATATATGTTATTCTCAGAAGATGGTAGAGATGATAATTAAAACTGACACCAGCAAATGAATCAGTAAGACTTTTGTGTGGTTTTTATTGTAATTTAGTGGTTGTGGAACTGTATTTAAAATAGATGTTTAAATTAGAATCTGATATGCTGCACAGGTAGGATAAGAATGGGCAGCATGGATGGGATGTCTTTTTTTTTTTTTTTCTCTTTTTTTTTTCCTTTCTGCCTGCCTGTCTGTCTTTCCCTTTTGTTCGGTAGAGGAGGCTGAAGTTGTCTGTTCACCTAACATTTTGCTTCTGCCAAGAATGCTGCAATTGAGCTGTTTAATACGAGATATTACGATTTGAGTTTATTTAGAGGAACTTATGGGAGAAGCACAGAAAAGGGTCGTCTTTATCAGTGAATATTTAGCATTTAAGCAGCACTTGTCTCTGTTTTACTGTAGAAGGAGCGAAGGTCTTAGTGGCCGGGTCCTAAGGAAACTTCCTTTCCTAGCACATGCACTTTATATTCAAGTAAGTTTATTCTATTCTATTGATTTTGATTTGGTTTTTTGAGATAGGTAGGAAGACATTTGGACAAAAGCCCTGAATCCTTTTAAATCTAGAATATACTGTTTCTGCTGCTTTCTGGACTGAAACAATTTTGTGCCGCCAATAATTTAAAATGAGATTGAAAAAGACTAATGGGATTGACCTGTCCAACAGCATTCTACTTAATTATGTATTGTAACAGAACATTGATATTGATTCTCTGATGCTTTCTTGGTGACAGAAAGTCTTCCCTCACTTTTAAAATAATAATTTGTTTAAACTTTTATTGAAGCAAATCCACAGTATTATTGATTGACTCAAGAGTTTGCGTGGCTTGACTTTATACCAGTTAGCATAGTAAAATTAAAATCAGGTGCAATTTTGTTTTGCAACATTTTGAAAATATTGTAAAGTGGAGGTCAGATATTTCTCTTTTTAATACTGCGTGCGGAATGTGAAATGTTATGCAGCTCTATTGCTATAGTGTCTAACAAAATTTTCTCTTATTTTCAGGCCCCCAGTGTTACAATGACCACATTTCTTCAGGCTCTTTCACTTGTAGTGGACAAGCAATTTGAAGAAAGAAAGAAACTTGCAAACTGCATGTGACACTACTGTTTTATAGTTATCTGTATTGTTACCAATGAAAAGTACATATTTTTGAATACAAACTGTGCACCTTTTATACCTTTGTAAAATAGATTGTCAACGCATGAAGAAACCTGGAAGGCCTGATCTAGTTTTTAAAAACAGTGATTAATAAACAAAATTCGGAAAGTTTATAGTACATTTCTGAAAAACTTTTATTTCAAATCCCAGGAAGGCCCTTAGAAACTGATATTTAAAAAAAATTCTACACCTTTTGCAAATAAACTAAAAATAGGTAGATTTCTATTCCTTGCTTCTTAATCACTAACTTTCTATCCATGCATGAATTTTTATACTTTCAATTTCTTATCCATTTTTAAAAGCAATAGAAATTCAGTTTTTGGCTCTGGTAAGTATGCAATAACTGCACTACTGCTATTACCTCTTCTGAAACTGACAAGCATGAAACTGGGTAAGAACCAGAGTGCTCAATGATCGCCTAGACCTTTCATACTGACCCTTCTTTATGCTGAAGGGTAATGTCAAGTATTGTTTTTAAATAACATCAACCTAGAAAGCTTTAAGATCACTTAACTGTATTTTGTAATGCTCCTTTTCTAGTGTTGATGCAAGGATGGACAGTGGACCAGGTACTCTTGCTGAAAAACAAGTACATTGTGCAAGGTTCTTTAAAATGTGTGAAGTCTCTCTCTCTCTCTTTTAATATGAAATTGAAGTTACAAATCATCTCTGGGGAAAGATATTTGGTAGTACAAAAGCCAGGAAATGTATGTATTCAGTTTCTAAAGGGACAAAGTCAGCTCTTACCTGGTAATTACATACGCTATATAATAATACTCAATTTTTTTTCTTTTATGTTTACAAGCATTTCATCTGCAATCCACAGAAACAGTGACATGTAGAAGAGTTTACAGATCAGAAGTTTACTCTTCTTAGGTGAGGTTCAAAATAGTGATTTTTTTTTTAAGCTGATCATATCTGGTTAACACATACCTGCTGTGTATTTTGTTATTTCCTTGTTATTTTATTATTCCTATTTTTTAAATCAATGTTATATGTTCATTAGATGGAAGATTTTGTCATGAAAAAACACTAAAAACTGTGCATTAAACAATTGCACTGAACTTGTCAGCAAGAATTGCTAGTCAATTTTTATTATGTCATTTATATTTTTTGTAAAGAGAGTCTCTGTTACACCTCTTATGCATCTGTTATATTAATTTCAGATATAAATCGTTAAACATTATTCCCTACCCATCCATCCCCAAGAAAAGGAAAAAAAGGTTGCATTAAAATCAATCATTTGGAGTTGAATACTCTAATATCCAATGCATTGCTTGTTTTGGAAATACTGGTACACACAAGAAATTTTCCTAAAAGTCAGGTATAGGAACACTGCTCAACGGTAAAATTTTGTACAAACTCTAGTCCGTACCTGACTTGTGGCTTTTAAAATATGAAGATTTAGATACTTTTCTTTAAAATGACAATACCTTCAACACAGGTGTATGTTATCTGTGTATATCTTGATGATCCATGTAATGGATGTTTTGGAATAATTCCAGCATAATATGGAAACATGGCCTATCTTCTGGTTTTGATTTCAGAATCTTAGAGGAAGTGATTTTTTTTTTTTTTTTTTTTTTTTTTTAAGAACAACAGAGGCTATACAAATTGCAAGTTCCTGTCAATATTTCACTGGGGGAGGTATATGCACTCACACTGCTTGAAAAGCAGATCTTAGTAGCACTGCTGGATGGTTTGTGTGTAGATTCTTAACTATTCTCACTCATTATATCAAGGCTATAAGAACTGTGAAGACCAGCAGCTGTTTTTTTTTTTTTTTTTTTCCCCCACCCTTTATCCAAGATGATGTCAGTGTCCCCAACCGTGTGGTTTACCCTTTTACCAAGATGTTTCTGGAGAGTTTAGTTTTAGAATATTTTCTTACGTTTAGTAGGTAGAAGTACTTAAGAGTAGGATGCACTGATGGAATAGTATTCTAAGAGGTAAGCATAACTTAGAGACCGTTTTCTTTTATGTGCACTCTCGCTAATATTATGATTGTGCAATGGCTGGCGATGTTTTAATATTTTGTTAAAATCATATATAGCAATTATTTCTTTTTTTTTTTTAATTTCAGAAAGAAAAATCACACAATGAGGCAGGCTTGCTTTTTTCCTTACTTTTCAGTTTTATGACAAATACTTTCCTGCATTGACACTCCTAAGAATGGAAATTATGGATGTTTTTTTTCTTGAGGACCATTGTTGTTCACCTCAATTTTAAATGTTAAAGGCTTTGAATCCACAGCTTTGAAGAGAATCACCTTGAAGTGGGTTGTATGTCATCTTAGAGGGAATTATTTTCCACTTTTATTGAAGATACACTACTGTACACCCAAGACTACAAAGTAAATTGAGCCTAGACAGAGAACGTAAAGTGGGGATCCTTATGTACCCAGGGTTCAGGCCATTCAGCTGGAAGAGGGTGCATTGACTGTTTAGTTTGAATATACATGCTCTCTGCAGAATAGAGACAGATATTGGCCCACATGGTATCCTATGTAGCCTTTCTGTGGAAACAGGTGATATAGTTTTACTTTATTCAAGACGATGCTTAGATGCACTTACAGATGTGCAAGACTAATGCAATGCTGTAATGCAACATAACCCCGTAGAATATCTCTAGCCAGCCTTAGGGAAGGAATAGTCTAATGTATAAAATGTTTCCACATATTATTATAGATGGACACAAAAAATTGTTTTAATAAAAAGAAACTGTTGAAGAATTTGATCCAAAGTTGACAACCAGTGATATTTTCCACACTATGATGGGTAGGGCAAAAGTTATTTTGTACTATAGTTTCACCATGTTGTCCACTAGGTGGATCTCTGGGATGTACGTTACTATAAGCAGAGATGATGACATTTTGAGCCTGTTCACCAGGCAAAGACTTTCAGCACAGCATGTTTAAGTGTTTGGAATGTCTGGAGTTTTAACAGAGTTAAATAATGCTAAAAATAGCAATGTAAAATAATTTAATTGCAAAAAGTGGAAGTAGACCCTTTGCGAAGCTGAGCACTGTTTATCTCCTGAGATATTTCCGTGACTAACGTTTCTCCAAGCAGCCAAAAATGTTCATTTCTGACCCATATCCTACAATATGCTTTGCAAACTTTGGGGGGAGAGAGGGAAGACCTTTATTACTCAATTTGTCCTTTACAGATTTTTCAAAGACAGTGATTTTTCTAAAATAACTTTTTTTAAAATGACTCTTAAAGATTAATTTAGTGTATAATGCTTTGGACCTTTGGAAATACATAACTCATTTCAAACTCACTAAAGAGAAGAAATGTAAGAGCTAAATTCTGATAAGCTTTCTATGAAAGATGGGATTTATATGAATGGTACCAAGTACAGTTTGTGGTGCTGGTCTCTGCATCATAAGAAGGATATAGAGGATTTAGAAAACGTACAGGGAAGAATAGCTGCCATATTTAAAGAGATAGTATAGTTACTTTATAGGGACATTAAAAAAAATGGGGACTGATTTGGAGAGAAAGCTGACTTGGGTTTACAAAATTCTGAAGGCAGTAGGTAAGATGAATGCAGAACTGTAAATCATCAGATCTTGCAGTGCTAAAAAAGGGAGGCATTTGTTGAAACTTTTAGAAGATCAGTTTAAGACTGATCTTTAAGAAGTACTTTTTTAGGTAATTATGTAAACTTCTGGATTTGTTGCCCTGTGAGGTTGTGGAGGCAGACAGTATCACCAAGTTTGACAGGGCTTTAAATCAATTGATAGTCAACAGGTCCAAAAAGAAACTCAAAAGAATAGACAGGTATGTACCCACTAGCGTTCCTAGTCCGTTTGCCATCAATGGCAAAGTGGAACTGTTCCGTGCAGCGCTGGTCATTGCCAGGGCACCCTAGATCATTAGGGCCACTACATTATCCTTAATGGGAAAGTATGCATTCAAATTGGTGCATAAGCTCCAGAGCTTTCTCGCATTCCAAATATTTTTCCATTCCAGCTGTGCATCAGCCTGCAGGAAAATCTCAGCCAAAGTTGTATGGATGTCAGAAGGGTCCCTTTTGCTCTGTGGGAAACAAGCATGCTTCACTAGAAAACTTTCTTTTCTAATCGTAAAGAATCATATCATAATCATGCAGATTTTCAAGGAATCTAAACTTAAGCGTTGACCTGGATTATGTTTTTGTTTTTGTAGTAAGATATGTAAAATATGAATATAAAAGTTTATATGCAGTTTTAAAATGTATATAAAATGCATGTATTACATTTAGCAAAATATCGTTAGTAGGTACATAAAACATGCATGTGGCTATCTGAATGATTTGAAGAATTAATCAGAAGTCCCTGTAGTACCAGGGGCTTGGGCTAGTGTCCTCACGCATTCAGAAGAGTATTAGAAATGGAGTATTTTATCAATTCCTTTTGCAAGTACAGTTAGGAGGCTTGTTTTGGCGTTATTTGGATCTCATTGGGAGAAATTAGCTTTACTACAGCACTTCTGCACCTTCATGATGTGTGACCTCAAATAAAATCTGTCTTGATGACTGTGCATTGCTAAGAAGTTTGTGATTATTCCATGACTCAAATGGCATGTACCATCTTTTCAAACAAACTTGCACAAATGTTTCCCAGGATAAAGTATATAAACTTTTTGCTGTACTATATTTGGGAAAGATGGCCATTCAATATCTCCCCAGATAGTTTGGTTTTTGTTTTTGTTTTTTTAGTTAACAATAGGATCTAGTGCTTTGGAAAATACAGAAGATAATTTTTTCTTCCTGTTTGTGGCCTTGAAAGCCTACTGCAATTGTATGCTTGTATGCTAATACAATTTGTAGTACATAGCAACAACAAATTACTTTAAAAAGAATAGAAATTTTTGTAATGCCTTTTTGAGCTACCTGCTTTTGAGGACAGCGGAGCAGGGGTTATGATACCGGAAAGGACAGTCCTCCTCTAAACTCTCATATATGCCTAAGCAGCATGCAGGCTCCTGTCTGCAGGTGGCTCTGTGAAAATTAGTAAATATCCCGGTCACTCTTTAAAGACATCAAAGTGCTGAAGTAGAATTCATGGTATCAGTCCACATTCTGCAGCTCTGACAGTGACCAGCACTTCTCATGGGCACA